AGTTCGAGCTGCTAGCCCAAGATGGCAGGTTATGGGCTGTATTTTACGCGCGAAGTTATTCAAAAAAAGGTGATAGAGATTTCGCATTTACCGTTGTCATTTTTGTTTTTCCAAATACCAGGCCGTTCCTTCAGCCACTTTTTTACTTTTCTACTTTTTCGAAAGCCATTTAGCTTTGCCTTCATATTTGAGGATATTTTCTAGGACAAAGAATTCAACGGAAACAGTTATCAGAGTCAATCAGGGTTGTGAGCGCTCAACGTGTAGTGTCTATTTTACGTAGGGAGACAACTATGTTATCCGAATTCCAAATTTCGGTCATTCAAACGTTATGTCAGTCTAACCACATCTCTTTCTTCTTTCTTACAGCTTTGTTTTCCTTCTCCTTATCATGGCGAAACTCAACATATTTCTAGATTGTAAGTTAGACTGTTCTGGCCACGGAAAATGCAACGATATTTCTAAACAGTGTGAGTGTGATAGCTTCTGGATGGGAAATATTTTCGCGTATTTCATTGCCGGTTTCGTAATCGAAGACTGCGGTGAGCTTCTTTATAACTTTGTAAGAACTATTATTTTCAATCTTAACCTTTTTGTTTGCCGCCTACTATAATTTATAGCTTCAGTCTCAGCTTAACTAGGTTCGTTGCCGATTTGGTCTCCCTAGGTCAGTTCTGTTGACGGGTGACTACTGATGGCAAAAGATCATTAGAACTAGCTGAGAGACAAGCAAAACGAAGAACCCGGATGGTGTGGTGGTGAAGTGCGCTACTCCTTGGAAAGGACAATAGCGCGTTCATTCCCCACCGCAGACACCTGCGGTCCGGAGTTTTGCAAATATCTCAGCATCATCTTAGTTGTATTATTTTTAATATTGCTAGAATAATCAAAGGTTCAGCAAAACATTAAATTCTACTGTGGTCTAACTGTTTCCCGTTGTTTGCAGCGTGGTCTTCACTATATTTCTGGATGATTTCCATTTCATTAACAGTGACAACGATAGTGTGTTTCTTAACGAAAAGAAGATCGCTTTGGAATAGAGTTAACCGAAGACGATTCAAGCGTCGAAAAAGGTGAGCGTGATGCTATAGCTAAAAAATTTCGTAGCCTTTCAAGTGGTACGTCTTTTTTTCTTAAGTTCAGAAGACTATTTTCTTATCAATGTTTAACGTTTTGTTTTCTGCCTTCTATAATTTTCATGGAATGTCATTGGACGACTTGACGTCCATGAATCAGTGGATCACTAAAAAGTTATGTTCTGTTTGTTCATAAGTGGAAATTTATTGACGAACTTAAATTGGTGACTAATTCTAACTTGAAATGTGGATAACCATAAAGACGGTAATTTTTCCAGTTATCATGATCATGATGCACCTCCAGGGAAGTAGTTATGTTCCATGACTGCTACAGTTTCGAGTGCCATGCCAAAAGTTTCCGTAGTCACTCTTACGTCTATCGTGATAATGAAATTGCTTCGTGTTTAAGGTTGAGCATCAATCGACGGAATAAGTCAGACGGACATGTCCGTTGTAAAACAGCTTCATTTTCTTTGAATGTTCTGGTTTCGTCTTTATGGAAAAGGCGCGTGTTTCTACGGTTAAAGTATAACACTGATAAAGTATATTACTAGGACTAACATTTCACTGGAATGTTCTCTGTACAAATGGTAGCAACGTTAGTAGACGATTTAGGAGTTTTTGGGTGTTTGTGAGATGGCCTGAGGTTTATTTCAACAAGTGAATGTGTATAAGGTTTATGAACCAAGCTGCTCTGTCTCTGGACCCGTTTATAGGATTGATAATAGTTCTAACATTGAATGTTGACGGATCGGTAACCACAAGATCATCAGTGAATAATGTGATTTTTGCTAAGTAACCGCAAGGTCGAATATGTTGGTTCAATTTTTGGTTGCGAAATAAGAGGTGCAGCCGCGCTTGTCACGTTGACCTACTCGTTTAACTTTTGGTGCTTACTTTCGAATTTTTTTTTGTGATGATGGACGGCAAAGCGGAACATCTTGAAGATGTTTAACCGTTACCTCGACATCGAATTGACATCGAATAAATGCGAACCCCCCACTTTTGTCGCTTATATATTAAATTATATTTGCTGAGGTTAGGGAAATGTTTTACTGAGTAGATTCAGTGTGAATTTGATCTTTCTAAGCTTTAAAGAACGTGAAACCACCGAAGCATATTGTTGAGCTATTGTAAATAAATAATGTAATAATAACCTCGTGTCTGCTCACCAAGCAAACTGAATTATTCATCTTGAGAAAATGTCGAGGAAGCTCGGCGCAAGTTGAATGACAACCAAGGGAATCGCCGTTTTAAAATATCGTCGGTCTTTTTTCTGTAAGTAGAACAACCAGGTTTCTTGACCATATTGTGACATGCAATGAGAAATGGAACTATTGTGATAACTGTCGACGGTCATCTCTCTGATAGCACTGCGACGAAGCACCACAGCACTTTCCAAAGCCGAAATTGCACCAGAATAAGGTAATGCTGACCGATTGGTGGTCTAAAGCAAGTTTGATCCTGTATTTTCTAAAACTTGGTGAAACCAGTTACAATGGTACGTCCAGCATATCGACAAAATGCATCAGAAACTTCAACGCCCCCTTACTGCTCAACAGAAAGGTGGCAGACCTCTACGATAAAACTTTGCACTACCGACGCCGTAGAAGTCGAACGAGCTAATCCATGAAATTCTGCCGCTCACACACCGCACTAACCAGACGTCCCGCATGCCGGCTTACAATTTATTCATTGCATTTCGACGACAGGTATGCCTCACAAGCCAGGCCGAAGTTGAAACTTCCTTCAACGATTTCGTCACCTCAGAATTATGTACTAATGGTAATAAATAGGCTTGTTTCTCGTTAGCAAGAATGTGTATATTCTAGAGGTTATTTAATTCGCAAACTTTACTCTGAGCTGAGATATGCCATTTTAAAAATACACGTTGAAGCCTAACATTAACTCCTGAATGATTTGGTATAAATAGAAAATAGACCGTTATCTCCCCACTAATGCATTGTACCCAGTGCATCTCAGTCGTTGTGTTAAACCTCGGAAATTTTCAGGTATGCTGCACTCCGAAGTGAGTCGGACGATGTGGAAAAAGAAGCATATCGTCTGCGAAACGGTCTGTCAATCATTTTGTTTTGATAATTTTTAACACCATTGTGGAAGCTTATATATCAGTACATTCATTGTTTTGAAGCCTTATCTATCAATCCAATGACATTAAAATTTAACATCAAAGCTGATACTTAAAGTGGAAATGACATGTGAAGGTCCCATATCCATGTACAACTACCGTCCATCAATGTAAGACGGTCCCTGTGGATCCGTCGTGGTACGATTTAAATATGTTTTTCAAACATCTCTCAAATGGTTTCCCAAAGTTGTCCTTAGTCTTTTTCCGTGCTTCCAAACCAATCATCTAGTATTTCGTAACACCTACCATTCCAACTAGTGCAAATAAACAGAATTTTTAATTATTCGTTTAATTTTCTTTTTACACGTAGGTCCTCGATTAGCGCCGTTGCCTATATCGCGCTCAAGTGAATCACTCGATTCTGAGGGCGATGAGTTGCTACACGTTCCGGAGGGCTCCGATTCTCTTCAGGAGAAAGGATGCTAATAAAAGAAATCATGTACTTGTTTGCAGCATCCAAATATATTTTCACTAGCTCACTATGGTCATGTAACTCAACATCGGGTCATATAACATATCTTCTATTTAATTCTATTAATTCTGACAATATTCTGAGGAATTTCTGATTTTAACAAATCTGTGTGTATATGCTTAATCGCATAGCGATTCTTATTTAGAGTCAACGTCAGAAGGAAAATTCCCTAGTCTTAACACATTTTTTTATATCCTTATTCCCATAGCTGTTCATATGTGGTCCAAATCATTCTGTGATACTATGCACTTAGGAAAATCAAATAAATCTTATTTGTTTTTAGTTAAACTGGAGATAAGAATGCTAGCACGAGTTGAAATCTTGCCAAAATGGTTATGCCCATTTAGACTCAAACCACCATGCCTTAATTTTCAGGATAAATGTGAAATTTAACGTGTCTTCTAAACCCTGAACCTACTGCTGCATGACAGTTCTAGTTGTAAATTCGCGATTATATTCCATAGAGTCTAGTGTTGTTGTACTACAATGTGGTCAAGCTGCCTTTTTTCTGCAGGTCAATCTATTATTAACTCATTCAGCTGGTTGTCTTGACGAGCTAAGAACGTACTCAATACTATGGACATGTGAACACAAAAAAAACAAGGTATTTCGTAAATATGGTCCTACGATATCCTTTACTCATAGGTGAACTTTAAGTTGACCTCTAAGCGTAAGCTATTGACAGCTGCATGGCATATTCTATTTCACACGCGATAGAACGGAAAGGTTGAGAACCTCTGTGAATTCAAAAGTTAATGACTAGCACTTTGCCCATAGACCTCCTTGTCGTACTACCGCCATCCACATAGTGGTAGTCGAGTTTACGTGCGGGTTCTGCTACGGCCTGAGGATATTCGAAATTCCACCATCTTCTACAATGTTGAATACACCCCCTGGTTACATAATACATACACTGTGGTTCACCTTTGAAACCTGAGACCGGATTTGCTCCAACTCTTCATCATAGGCAGTCGATGGCCTCAGTGGGTGGGAGCTTTACTGTTTTGCAAATGGAATTCTATCCAAATATTCGACTCTTGCGATTTAATGAATTTATTGAAAATGCCCTAACGTCCCGAATTTCCTCCGTACTTTTACATGTAAAGATGTTAAGATAGACTGTTGAGTGGTTTAGACGGGTGGGATATATTCTTCTATTGTCGTGAGACATTAGCAAAAATTCCTTGACAAACTTATATGCGCTGAAAAGCATTTCAAACAAAGAAAGCATTTATCCAATTATAAAAGATAAAAGGCACGAAATAAGCGCCTTATTAACCTGTTATGTATATGATAACTCTCTCTAATGAGCTTTGGATGACACACTAAAACCAACGGGTGAAACAAAGATTTCATCTGCAAAGAGTGATTCATCTCCATTCCTGCTGACAATATGTGGTCGTATTTTATGAACTCCTTCAACACGAAACATCACATGAAACGACAATTCGCCTTGTGGTGTTGGCATCGTCTGGTGTGGAGGCTAAATTGTTTTTTTTTTCTAGCCAAAACAAACAACAGGATCTATGGAAGCTTCTGACATCTAAGATACATCTACAGCTGTAGGAAATTTCACGCAGCACCTGCAGGATTTTAACAGAAAGCAGAATTTGGCTTATTATATATGCTCCTGTGCTAAACGAAGGGATGTATCGAAAACGGACAACTACTTCATCTTGATTCTCCAAATATGAAACCAGCACCATAATCAATTCAATTCGAAAAGAAGACGTAGCCAGGAAAATAGTGCAACTTACGCTTTTCGGTACAACAAATGGAATCTTGCGCTGACCAATAATCAACAAATTTTCAGATTTATCTACTGTTCCGAAGAAGCTCGATATTTCTTGGTAGCAATCGAGTGTTAAAATTCCATCAAAGTCGTCTGAAAATTGGAAATTGTAACATCGTTAGTTTAAAAAAATTGCTACATCACTAGTTAAGAAAATAAGTGATTAGAAAGGCTCACATTCAAGTGATGAAATAACTACGACCTTTATGTGTATAATTTCACCAATTCCTACACAAATATCATCTTCGCTTAAATATGGTGTGCCGTTCACGGAAATATCTGAAAACCACCTCAGAACACAAATCAGATACGGTGGATAAAAGCATTGTTGTACCTAAGGATATCGCCGGCAGAACAAGCTGCTTCAAGAGAGACACTGACGATAGTAATGCACCAACTGGCACTAATCCTTCAAGCTGAAATGTAAAAACAAATCTTTTATGATGATCGCCAATGTTACAAAACGTTTCACAAGCCTACATTCATAGCAGGGATCGCCCATCGTATGTCCAAGTGCTTAGCAACATGAAGCTCAAGAGTAGCTCGCAGTTTCTCAACCTAAACATCTGTCTACTGGTTTAGAAAGACGTATCAAAATGAATGCATAAAAAAGAACTTAGAATAACCCTCAACATCACCATCTGAAAACTTAAACGAACTTCAAGTTTTTGCATCATGTGGCTGTCCTTTTGTGTTGCAGCATGAAAAGCTCGTCCGGCAACATCTGAACAGCAAGGAGACAAAAGGGGAACTCTGAAGGAGAATAATTACCGATGAACGAAAAGCACTGTCAATGAGTTGACAAATCATTTGAAAAAACTCGCCGACAGGTCTCTTTAGGAAGCACACTCATTCTCCGATTAGAACTGTAAACCAATTCTGAGTCGTGTTCTGTGCTGTTTGTTACATCGACAACAATATATCTCGTGAATGGACCATCACCTGGCAAAACGTGCCAAGCAGAAACAGTGACTGCAGGCACAACACAAACCGCAATAGACAAACGTCCAGTTCTCTCATAAGTCTGTAAATAAAAACCATGTTAAGTTTTCAAAGCGTGATCTCTAACCCTCTCTTGACTTCGAACTCTTGGGCGTCACTTAGATGGTAAGTAATTTCTAAGGATAGCGGCATTAAACACTCTGAATTCGCTCAACTCTATCGCATTCAAGAAGAACCAAATAGAGAGACAGGTAAAACCACGTTTAAATGGACTATTTCTGTTTAAAAAACACGCAGCGCAACAAACATTTTTGTTCAGTTGAGCAAAAATGAACATCCTAACGCTCAAAACGTTGAAAAAATTGTGGACAGGAGAATTCTTTCCTGTTGTGGGAACTAACAAATCTGCTGAATTTAAAAAAAGAAGGCCGCAGCTTAGGATACTTTGTCACAATGGAACGATGATATACTACTGAGAGAACTTGCGAGGAGGTAACTAAATACGTGAGTGAAATGAGTTAATCAAAAAAGCGTTCTTTTCTTATACCTCTTCTTCGGGTCCAATTACATCAGCTACGTATTGAAATACGAACTCAGAAGAAAGCAATCGACCAGTGTATGGTATGAGGTCATGAGCATCAGTGTCGGGAGCCTCGGCAGCAGTCGATGCAAGTGGCAAAACAGTTTCAACTATCTGGAAGCAGCTAGTAGAGGATACCGTTCCGGACAAACGTTAGATTTCCTTAAAACGGCAAAAATGTCAATAAACCATTTTAACGATGGAAAACTTTAAAAATTCACGTACACAAGCGAATATATATTTATGGAACGCACAAAAGACACAAACACCGTTTGCCAAATGGAAATTTGAAAATTTTGCTAATCTCAACAAAAATCCGCTCAGTTTGGTCAAGCGTTAGTAATCTTGAAGAAATGAAATCAATTTAAAGATGTTACTGATGATAAACTAGGTTAAAGCGGTCTTATTCCTCTGCAACACGTATAAACCATTGGAACGTACTTTGTCGTCATTGCCCTCGTCGTCAGCAGTTGCAGTAGGATCGATACCAAATATTTGGAAACTTATATCTTTTTCTTCAAGTGGAGCTAGTGAGAACGACTCATCATCAGCCTGATTCGTCAGCTCTATCAACGAAGGACCACCAGAAACCTTTAATCCACTGAGTCAAGTAAAAATTGAAAAAAAAAACTGAGAACAAACAACGAAAGGAGAAATTCAAGGTACAAGAATAGATAAATATCTTATGGAATTCCAAGCACAGTTTTTTTCAAAAGTTTGATGGTTAGAAAAATGGAATGAAATGGGAAGTTTGCGCAAGTAGCACACATGGCCTTTATACTTTTATTTGCTTTCCACTCCTAGCATGAATAAAGGAAACCTTGTGCTTAGAAACAAAAGGACCCTGTGATAACAACCTGGTGATTTGTGAATTTCTTTTTTACTTGACTTGACAAGGAAAATCGCAGAAGTTGGAAGAACGGCAGTTCAATAGTGAGATTTTAAGACTGAAGTTTAGACGAGAACGAATTCCGTTCACAAAGCATAGAAACTGGCTCTGACGATCTTTATGAGACAATGCTTCGCGTTACGCTGTTGCAGCATTCTTTTTTGGTTCACTAGAGTAAGCTCACAGTCATATTTCATGGTTATCTCTCACATAGCCAATCCAGTTACCCAAAAAGAGACATCTGAAGCAATGCACTGACCATTACCTAACAATTCGATAGCAGAAATATTGGGCATAAATTCGTAAACATAAAGGTTTTCCAAGCAGACTTTGTGGTTTTACGGTGAAAAGTAGCCATTAACTTAGACTCAACCAATGGAACAACTAAAAAATAACATACAGGGAAAAGCTGAAGTATTCGAGTCGCACTCACCTATGAGGACCCCACATTTGTTTGTCTTTGCAATTTTGTAAAAAGAATTTTAACCTTTTATTTATTGCCTAAAATAAATTTTCACTGCAGGGTATTATGTGAAATGTAACCACAATGATGCTGAGATATTCGGAAAACTTGGATCCCAGGCCAAATCGAACCACGATTACCTTTCCGGAGCCTTACGTGTTATACACTGCATCACCGACGCCCTTGCTTTGCTTTTCTCTCAGCTACTTTGTAAGGAGAGTTAGTACGGGCAATGATCGACACTGAGACTGTCATCTTTCAAGTCAACGAGGCACCCGATTATACCAATTTTTAATCTAAAACGCCCACAAAACTTCGGATTCTTTTGACAAAAAGAATTATACTACGCTTATGTAAACCGCCTAGGTGGTATATTTTTGTAATTTCACACGACCTATCTTTCACAACTAAGGTGCAGACGCCAGCACTTCTCACATACTATTCGTTTCATCGCGTCCATGATCCACGAAAATATTCCAACTTTTTACATGGAGCTTCGACTGCTGCATGAGCATTTTCTTTTCATCTTGAATTAGCTCAATGCTGCTCGAGTGGATTCTCGTTGCAATTCTGAGATACCCGGTTTAGAGCACTCCTACGTGGAGCACAGAGTGATTTGCTCCCGGACAAGTCCGGTACCAATTTCCCGTCCACGGAGAGATAAGATGGTATTACTGTGCATAATCACTATAGGAATGACGTATGGACTAAAGCAGCTACTGAATAGAAAGCGCATTGAAATAAGAATAAAAACAAACTAATTAGGTAGAAATCATATAGTTAAAAGGTTGAAACGATCCAATCTTATACCAAATATACTGGAACCATTTTTCTCTTCAAATGGTTTACGGTGGTAGTAAGCACTAACTTAAAAACTGTGCTATCATTATCGATTTTACGGTCATGGACAATTTCTCGTGTCGGGCCCGTCGGACCCACATGTCACTAGAGCGCAATAATGCGCATTGAAACCATAATGTACACGGTCCATGAGCCTGTTTAAGAGGCACTGGTTTCTTGAGAATGTCGTTCCATATCTTTCTAATTTCTAGATATCCGTTATGTTCTTCTGTGTATGTATGTTCCTATGTTCTTGGACTTCTCTTGTGTGTGATCTAAGTCTTGCACCTGATGGGAAAAAATTCCTCCGTTATTTAACAATGTTGTTCCATTTCGCATGGTTTTGCGTGGTAGTTGAAGTGCATTTCTGTGCCTTTTCCACGTTTTTTTTTGCAATTCACCGATTCTACTCCACCGTCCTAAATGGCTTTTCGCAAGCACAACTCAGAATACCTATCTATAGACCTTTCCAGCATAAAATCTGTGTTCGGCGAGTCACTGACTGAATACAAAGGGTCGTGGAGGTGTCACGTTATCGAAAAGTAATGTGTCTACATGAAAACAACGAAGGAGAAGTAGTTTTGGTCAACGGTGTACACTAAATAATTGTTATAATACTAAAGGTCCCTTCCACGACCACCGCCATTTTCACGTGTCGGACTCCGGACACCGTGTGTCATTGAGGTGCAACTGAGATGCGCAATGGAATCAAAACGTACGATCCGAAAGGTACACCAGCGTACATATTGAAATCAATGCACATGGTAGTGAAAGGGTTACATTAACTGCTCTGAATTCATGCAGATTTTCAACAAACTCTACCTTTGGCTGCCATAATTGGAGACGAATTTTCTTTATGGAAATTGTTGAACTAGTGTTTTTCACAGTCAACGAATGTTTAAACCTGAAAATAAGTAAAACGGATTTAAAACTATTTTACGTATTACTGACAAAGCATAAAGCTCACACTTGTCCGGAATATACAGTTATTTCAGCGCTTGGCTCATTCAAATCCTCCTCTATTGGTGCGCGTGGCAAGGAAGACTCGAACTGGAGAACAGGGAGTGAAGGTAATACTTCAACCTGTATGGAAAAAGTGCAAAATAACGAATTATTTTTGTTAACAAAATCCTGTACCTTTAGCGGCCCTTTGTGTCCATAAAGTTTACAAACGTTCTTTACACCAAAAACTTCACAGCAATAACCGGTAATCGTTAGCAAGCCTGGTGTTCTGAAGAAAAACATAGATAAAGGTAAACCAGTTTCGATAGTAATAACGAGAATAGCGATAGCAACAAAACCTAGGGACGCCTATGAGTTTGATCCTCGCTGGACCAGTACCTTCTGCAGCTGCAGGCAGCATTAGACGCATAGGCACCGACTCAAAAGCACATCCGTCAGCAAGCAAACACAATTCCCTAAATGGGTTAGTATTTTAAAATGAAGTGACTAATATTCGCTGAGAAGAATATTCCCTGATGAGACCTGACAACTAGCTCATGAGGACGGCAGTTGTAAATAAGAATTGCTACTTCACAAGCACAATCCACTACCCAGTATATTTCTGGAATACATTGAAAATTAGCATTGTGATGTAACATTGGAGCAAACGCTCGAAAAGTTCATTCACCATTTGTTGACCTTTTTTGCTGAAATGGTGAATATATGAATAGTTCAGGTTGGCCAACCTTCGCATGTATAACGGTAGGAGCGAGATGAGGTGGAAGTGGGCACAACATGGGATCACTTAATTGGAAGGACGTAAATTTCACACACACCACTACCAAGCAAATACAACTTGACTACTCCGACTAACCTAACCATAGGAAATCTTGTTAGCTGTATGGGTGGAAGGATAATATTACCAACGGGCACTGAAATGCGTTGATTAAGTTGTGGTGTGCTGCCTTTAATGCGAACAAGATTTTGTAAATCTTCGAATAAACGATTCGCTAAAGATGGATCCATATCATCGTAATAAACCTGAAATATATTTTTAGTCACAGGACATTATCAGAGGCCTTTTAAAAAAGGGACAATTGGAATAAAACAATGGTCCTCTACCTGGATTAAGTGGCAAAGGTGACGAATCGCCGCATCAGTTAACTCTGCCCTAGAAGCAGCAGTATATACTTCATGAAGAGCCTTGATTTGTAGATGAACTGGACCTCTAGACACGCCAGTTTCAGATACTTCACGCATGTCTTCGTTTATTCCATACCCAGAAAGGGTCCTACATGAAATATTACGATTTACAAAGCCGCATACTGGGAAAAAAATGTAACCAAAAATGAGAAACTTAGTCGAAAATTCTCTTTGCAAAACAGTCCTCACGAAATGGATATTCTTTAGCCAAAACATTTCATTTATTTTATCTGAAACATACCTATACAGAAAGGGATATACAATGCGATAGTCATGTGGAGTTCTTTGCTGACCGTCGGGAATTTGAAGACGGAATAAAACACTCAGGCGGGCAAAGAACGAACATTTTCGTGTAAAGCCTACCTAAACTTAAGAAGCTTCTCTATCGACAGAGATGAATCACTAGCCCAGCGAGATGAAGTTAATACAAAGACTAACCTCTCTATACAAAGTACCAGAATTATTACAGATGGCCGCCTTGGTATGATTATCAAACCTTGTGAAGCTATCTTCCAAATATTTACTGACATGATCACGATGGAAAGCCTTAAACAGTTGACTTCACATGAAACAGAACATAAATGGTCAACCGAATCCGACGAAATTTGGTACATTTTTCCTATACAATGTGAAAAGAAAGCAAATTTTTTTTGATATAGTGAGAAGTCCTCAGACACAATACAATGCCAACAATTTTTTCACTGGACTCGTTCTTCCGCATCAATCATTTGAGAAAATGTTCGAATTTCTTTTTCACGAGCATTTGGGTGGAATCTGAGGGCTTTTTTACTACCACCTTTTGGACTACCTCTGAGTTACGGGTTCCATAAATAAATATGCTAAAGGATAAGACAAACAAGTACTAAAAGATAAGGCCTAGGAATGTTAACAGAAAGATGCACCTCCATTTCGACATACATTCGCTGATATCGATAAAGTGAGACCGCTTTCATCATACAGTCATATTCAATCATCGCCGCAAAAGAGAACTTTGAATAATTTTCAAGTGCTTGTTCAAATTTTTCAAGAATAGCAGATGGTTCAATCTTCTCCTTAAACCTGAAAATACCCATTCTTGCTTTAAGGAAATACCTAAGTAACATCCCTCTTTTATCAAGGAGAAAGGACTGCGGAATTACGAAAAAAACCTCTCCCCACGAAGTACAGCCCAAGGCATACGAGACCGTCGACTCTCACTGCCTTCACCACCATCATCAGTAACTGGCAAACGTGTGTTTTCATCCGAGCGATGGCGCTGATGACCTAATGACGGTCTAAATATGAAAATATTAGTGGAAAATAAAGCACAAGAAAGGTCCACACCTCAAAGAATACTGCAACCCGGTAGCGATACTTGTAGATGGTCCAGGAGTGGAATATTCACTACAACTGATGTCCCTCATTTGCGTAGGATTAACACTAGGCACACGATACATCGTACTATTTGATGGAAGACCATCGTAAAGGAGTGACATGGCAGCACACGCCCATCCTTCGCAAGCTCCTGGAAGTCTCATAAGGATAAGCTCTGAACAGATCTGCTGTTGATTAAGCGACAAAAACGGTAAGAATATTTTGACTATTTTGCAACAACTAATACCTATTATAACATTCTACATTAATAGGTAACAAACCTGCGAACCACAGCATGTCATTAGCAGTCTTCAACATTTCAATGGAAGCGCCATATGAATCTAATGCCAACTGAGGAAGCCCTGTAAGCATGGCATAGTCTGAGTTCTGCTTTCGTGAGCGACCGATGCATTTTCGCCTGCAAGAACTCATACATTTCTCAGATTTCCACTGAGTTATGAGCTGTAAAGCAGTTACAAAGCAATGAAATATCATAATCATGTAAAGAAATAAATAAACCCGTTGGCTTCGACTAAATTACCCGTTGCCATAAAAGAGCATTAATAGTATTAATTCATAAAGGTTTAACCATCGATTTTGCATTATACTGGTTTCTGAACGCATTTCGTAACAGATGCTTTCCTTTATGAATGAGCACATATATGGTGAAGCACCGTGATGTTGGTTAACACTGGAAAACACATGTCAAATACAACCAATGAAGCGTAACTACAAGAATTTTTAGATGTGGTGTACCAGTAGTGTACTTCCTTTCCCAAGTTTGCCACCCTCAAAGAGACAAAGGTTAACTCGGCGGCATCGAACTGTGGGGGTGCTCGTTACGACGTTGTCAGAGGTGCCCTGCAACACACAGGTTGTCAATGGTTCGAACCCATGCTGCAGGCTCTCCAAACCCTCCTCTCTTCGGATCGGAAAATTCGTCCCAAACTTGTCTAGGAGGATAGTAGCACTGAACTGACACATCGGTAGGCGAATGCAAGGCGCATCCTTCAGGGAGGGACCAACGCCGAAAGCTTTGTCCTTTGCCTTATCACTTGCGGCATACAAAACCCGTAACACAACACACTGCTGTTCAACTTTACAGTGAACTAAAGTCTTAATAAAAAAGTTTGGGACAGTGGAGACTAGCTCAACGGGTCCAAGTTTACGAGCACTTACAATGATACTAACAACAAGACTAACAACGTAGAGTAGATTTCAGTGGCGACTGAAACAGATATTAGACTTGCTATCTGAGAACCCTCGCAGACCACGTAGTACATCACAAGATGGACTGGCCCCTGATGACTGTACATGAAGCGGGCCGCTGTGTCGTCGTTCCGAACCGGTGGCACAACTTGTCACATATAATATCGTCGGTCGAGAAGAAATCGAAAGATAAGAAAGTTCATCCACAAGATGCAGCGATATCTCAGCACTACAAGAAATATACTATACAACAAATACAACGACTACCATCCAACACATAAATGAGGGCGAAAAACAACAGACTCTCAAGCTACAATAAACCAACCGAACACGATAACCACCACTGAGAACTATTGCAAAAAAATGAGGTAGGAAGAAAGTCTACAGTACTTAGGACATTCGAAGACACATCAAGTAAATATTCAATCAACTATATCCGCAAATGGTTCCTTCCTCTCGAGGTAGGTCTGAAGGAAAACGTGTACAACGCGATGAGCACTCATGTTATTGTTTAATTGTGGAATACTGCAGAAGGAAAAAGTGGATAAAGCAAAGAATTAATGTAGTCCAATCGCTAACGAAACCTGATAAAGTACAATCTATGCCCTCAAACTCTAGAAACAGTCATCGACCAAGTGACGAGGGCAGGTTTTTAGCGCTCACTCGCCCAAATGAACGTTCAATGCTTCTGAATGATATAAAGCAGAAACGTTAGCATACACCACGATGTGGAAGATGTGCAGGCAAACCAGACGTCGCTCAATGTTAAACTTATAGTGTGAAAACGCAATGTAACAAAATTCGGAAGACATGGTATGGGCAATTTTCCGCAACTATTTGGAAAAATGTATTCTTTCTTGGTAAGCTTGCACGAGGTTGATAAATATATTTATTTTCGGCTAACGTTTCGACGTCTTCGTCTTCCTCAGAGCCGATGGTCCGAGCCGAGTATTTGGAAAAACAATGACAAATCGGTAACGATCAGTTGAAGCGTACTTGTATGTCTTCGAAGTCTTGTTTTCTACACCAATCCGAAACTTCTCCTCTTCGGGTAAAACTGGACACGGTGGGCATTCCTGGAAATTCATAGGTTATACGCTAAATTTTCGTCTCTAGCACGGCAACCACCACAATCTAATAACTAGCTTGTAAAATATCGGATCGACTGACCATCTTTTCGAAGGACAAATCTAATCGTTTACTTTCCAAAACGAAGTAGATGGCACGCATAAACTCTCGAATGCCCATTTCTAACTCATCAGACTCTTCAAGTCGATGAAAAATGAACACTTCTCGGGAAGAGAAATGTGTAGAGACATCTGCCTTCAAAATGCATCTATTTATTTACTCTTCGAAATATCATCCTTTCGAATGAAATTGGGAATAATAACAGATTATCTATCGAGGGCATACGAATGGAGCACAGTGTGCAGAAAAAGAGAAATCGTACCTCATCGTATCCTAAGAAGATACATCGACTGTCTACAAGAGTTTGAGAGTGGTCATTCTGCAATGAAAATAAAATGTAAATAATATAACGGCATTTTAAAAAGCCACAAAAACACAGTCACTTTCACTTTCTCATAGTTGCTCCGAAGCTCATCAATCGTGGCACCAGTACTCAATGAAGATCTACGACGCTCCGAAGTAAGAGTTGTTGAGCTATCATCGGATGAAGAAGACACCTTACATAGAACAAATCTAAGATTTAAAAAAAGCGAAGATCACGCAAGAAAAGCAAACAGAACCGCAAAGTCGATACGAGTAGTAAGATGATACCCAATTTTTCCATGATATGTCAGCTAACAATTTCTAGGTGGTTGTTAGTGCATTTCATTACATACAACGTTTCTGCAAGGATGTAGGTAGCGCAATGGTTAGAAGCGCCTCACATGGGAACGATATTACGCTTCAGGCTCACCAAGTTCTCCGTCCCTCCTGGGTCGGCAAATGGGTACTGGACCTGCCTTGCAGGAAAGCAGCATTGACTCAATATATCGGTAGGTCACCGTGAATCATTGTAAAGGCCACATATGCATGCAATCATCTCCAACGATGCTTAAAGAAGTCGAATGCATGACGCATTCCTCAGGGATTGACCATGCTTCATCCTTGTTCAACCTTCTAGAGAAAGTGACTTGTTTTCTGTAGACATTAGTTATGCTAGACATCTTTCTTATACACCTGTGTGATAATGCCGTTCAGCAATTGTCAGAAAGTACGATTCAGATTAGGAAAACGTGAAAACCAATTGTGCTCGTGCAATACGTACCGTCGTTCTTAGCGGACCTGCAGATGTCGATGGCTGAGCGCAGGCCACACCGATAAGCCCCAGCACGCGTCTGTGAGCCTACAGCAGTTGCAATGAGAGTTCACGACCGACGATTAGAATCGGAAAGCGGAAAAACCTGTAGCTCTCCAAATCTGGCAAGTTCGGGATTCACACTGGTTACGAAGTTAGCGTGGAATATTCGTCTAGGATTGTCACTCACTGAAAAAGATGTAAGAGATTTTAAAGTGGCAGAACATCTATGGGTAGAGAAATAGCCTATAAGAAGACAGTTATTTAACAGATCCGATACTCAGCAACAATGAAAACAACGGCAGTAAAACATCGAAAGCTGAGAAGTTCATGACTGTGAAGAACTGAAGAGAAAAGGTTCTCTACCGACCTTGTATAGAACGTTGTCGGGCCAAACGATTCACAATCCGATTGAAAACAGTGGCGTTTCTGGGTCCCACCTGACGGATCAGAATCGTCGCCTGTTGATGATCTTCAATAGAAGGCACACCATCCATTCGGCCCCTTTCGCTTAGCACAAAACATCCACATCCAGGTCAGCGGATGGACGAACACTGAAAACGAACACTCATAACAAGCCGTAAGGCGCACGTTCTCAACGGAGCGCGCGAATGGCTGGCAGAGAGACAAAGTCAGTCTTGTGCCAGTACTTATTGCTTGCCTAGCAATCGATTTCGGTTGAAAACGTATGGGTTGCATGAGGGTACATGTCTAATCTACCGTTTTCGAAAATGTCGAGCACTTCCAAACATATCGGCACCAAAAGTTTTTAGAGTGTATTAATAAAAGAATAAAGGATAAAGCTCTCGTCGTAGATCAATCCCTAAGGGATGTGTCATGCATTCGACTTCATTAAGCATCGTTAGAGGTGATTGAATGCATATGTGACCTATGCATTGACTTGCAGTGGCTGCCATCCTCCCAAACAAGTCTAGTACCAATTTACAGACTTCGAAGGGATGGAAGACTTGGTGAGCCACGGGAGCAGGGAACGATCCCAAGTGCGTGCTGCAGGGCGCCTCCGACCACTGCGCCACACAGGCCTTTAGAGTGTATTAATAGTATACATTTCATCGCAATCCTCCCAACGGTTTACCTCCCCATCGTGGCTGGGAGGTGTTCCTGGGTATCGTACTGCGGTGTCCAGCTGGGGAATTCGTCCCCCGGGCAAGGTCTCCCAAGCTGAGGAGTCCGGCGCTTCCATCAGGAAACCTAGCTAGGAATAAACCAATACCAGGATCCACCACCGTCCTGGTATCAAAGTCGCATGGTGGCAAATCTCTCTCTGATTCACAAGGGCTGCGACTGCCTGTTGTGGTGACGACTTGTTGAGGCAGACTTTTGCCAGGATGACGTCGAGATTCCGGTGAACAACAATGGCTTAACCAGCAAATCTCCGAAAAATGGTAACTATGCTGGGGCCCACACAACTAGTGAGGACGGGCCGTCCAAGTATCAAGTAGGCAAGTAATTCATCGCAATAAATGAAGCAACGACTTAGATTTAATAGCCTGTCCGTAAGTAGTCACATTTTCATTCTATTATATGGAGAATACCTTCGTACAAAGTGGGCGTGTAGAGTAGTTGTGGTTGGAGGGTTGGGAGCGACCTGCATAACACATGGGATCGATTCCCGTTCACCAGGTTCACAAAGCCTTCCATCACTCCGGGGTAGACAAATGGATACCGGCTCTGTCCGCGAGGACAGCAGCAATGACTCGATACAACGGTAGGCCACCGTACTGTATTGGCCAGATATGCCTCCGATCACCTCTAACGATGCTTAATGAAGTCAATTTCATGGCACATCACTCAGGGATTGATCTACTCCGAGAGCTTTACCCTTTATCCTTTTATCTTTGTATATTCACGGATCTACCACGCAGATCGATCTCATGCCGATTAATCGCGAGGCAACGAGGATCACTCCATCGTACGTGGTCGATCGCCGGCAAAAAGGGATATCTGCTTCTCTGAGAAACAGCTAGATCAGAGAAGTGCTCCATATTTCTGCTACGCCGATTTGGCACGTACCTTCTGTGTTTACGAGCACGTATACATGAATGCATGCGTGGGTGTGTTCTCGTTTATGCGAGTTTATTCTACGAGTCAGTTCGGCCTGCAATCAATTGACTGTGAAGTATGTGGGACTCGGTTAGGAGTTCCCTCCAACAATTGAGCTACCCGTCTACTGTAGGAGACACGAGTAAGCTAACCGTCAGTATACCCAGCTCCACTTTCATAGCACACCGAGCTATACGCGAGCACCAAACGCTAAAAACAGTAAAATAAATGGGCTACATTCCCTTGAATCCGAAAAGGCCATCGATACGCCGGCACTAGGTAGGACGAGTGAGGAAAGGCTGATAGAATCTTAGGGCAATTCTAGGTTGCCTAAACTTGGAAGGACTAAAATCACGATCTTCAGCTATAAAGCAGGTTCACTTGCATCCAAGTCCTCGATAGAAGACTTGCTCATGCAACAAGAAGGATAAGGTACGACATCATGGCCTGGCCGAGACGAGAAGACGCTACCCATTCAACGCCGTCCATGGCACCGGAGAAGGACTGTTCTTCGAAACATGCGACATTATAGGCGGCGGCGTCGGCGTTCCCGTCAACACGAGTTTGCCCATGAACAATGATTCATTCGACAACTAACAACCCGAATCGGACGTTTACGATTAAAAAGATGTGGATCAATACCGGCTTTGACAGTCTTCGCCGTTAACGCGCTGACATCGAACTATGACGAAGAAGAAGCCGAAGCGTTCTACATGGACTTGGAGTTCTACAGAGAAGACCATACATTCTTCAAGGTCACCATTGGAGATTTCAACGCAAGACTGGACCAAGATTTATCATGGCGACCAAGGCCATCTATCTATGGCAACTCGCAATTCCAGAAGCCCCACCCTTAACGTTGGAGGTGGGAGTCTCCCAATGGAGAGTACCATAATGAAATAGACCACATCATAGTAAATAGATGGTTTTTCCTAACCGATGTCGCTGTTGTCCCAAAATTCTACACGGGATCAGGCCATCGTCTCTTCGTGCAAGATTCTATTTCTCGCGGAAAGGAGAGAAAGCCGCCGTATTTAAAGAGCGATACCTCAAAACTGCCATAGATTAGGAATTATTCGGTTAATCAGTCGTCCCTTGGGAAGATGCCGTTATTGATGACATGGACGAGGAGTACGATCGGCTCATTCAACACCTTCATATTAACGCAATGAAAGCGGAGAGTTCGAAAGTCATCAAGAGACGTCAACTCTTGAAACGCTCGAGCTGATAGACCAGCATGGAATCGTACGAGCTGCAGGTAACCGCGAACTAACGTCCGAACTTTCAAAACATTGCAGACAAGCGATAAAAGAAGATCTTAAAGGGAGAAGAGCAGTATTAATGCTGCAGAGGTTGGGAAAAGCATTCGCAAAGCTCACCGAAGCTTTGCGCCAATTACAAGATCAAGATGATTGCACTCCGATATCCAAACGGAACAGTTACAGCGTTCAGAAAAGCAATGGAAAAAATCATTCACGAATACTACTCAGATCTCTTAAATAGCTACATCCACCTTCCCTCATATGAAATAAAGGAGGATGGATATGTTGTACCACCGGTTCTCCGAAATCTCACATGCTACTTCGTCGATGTAGAATCAATGAGCACCACGTAGTGAGACGACAAACATCACATTAATTCTCCTTTTGAAAAACAAATCATTGGAACTCACTTCGGTCACAGTAAGACGAGGAAGACCAGAAATCCGTTATATTTCTAACTAGAACAGCAAAACGATGAAATAGATAATTAGGAGGGATGTACAACGCTATGCCGTCACAGTAATATTACATCACATTCGAAATTGGAATTAGACGATGTTAAGGGCAACATGTGGGAAAAATAATTCCTTTGGAGCTCGCAGAAACTGTGGAGCTCCGGAATTAAGAGAAAGAAATAGGGAAATTAATGCATCAGCGAATGTGGGAAAACTCCAAAGAAACTGTCGATAGAGGATTCGACGGGTATTATGTGTACCTGACCTGGAAAACAGCGACAATATTTCTTGACGGTGACACTAAATCTGCTATTAACCAAAACGTAGAGAGCTATTCACTAGTACTTAAAACCCTTTAATAATAATATGAAATTCTTGACTAGCACATGCCAAGGATTGTCATAATAGGGATCACCCACGGACAGGAAACACAAGGACGTTATGTGGGAAAATTTCTGGATTCCTGGGTTACACACACAGGTAAGACGTATTCTTTGACACAGTATACAACGTCGTTTTCTTGTTCAGCAATCACGAGGATGTTATACAACATACATTTCCATACAAAAACACATACAGTGCAATAGTAGCTAGTATCGCTAGTATCATAATCCAATGCCGGGGTTAGCGGAAAGTCGATCCTGGGAACTGTATAAAATGTCAGCGATTCAACAGCCTGCCTTACAAGTGTCCCGAACGACTTGACCTACCCAACAAAGGATTTTGAAGTGACGTTCTCGAAAGCATCGGCTTAGAATACCTTACTCCACTGAAGGTTGTTCAACAAGACGCGACCAAAAGTAAGTGATGCAGAGCCATAATAACATTTGTGGCGATGACAGTCGTACGTCTTGGCATCGTCTCCATCTTTCCAACACATCATTACTCTTGTTCTTACGCCGTTTCTTTGGTCGACGTGGTATGTCCACCTCATTAATGAGTGACAAAGCTCCGACATTCATTACTGGAGAAATCATTCTCACGAGTGTCAGCAATCAATTCGGAACGAGCCAATAGTAAAAGGAATTCACGGAAGGAGTAACTGCGGGTTCGAATCTGGGCTGTGGTCTAGGTTTCTCAAATATCTCAGCATAACAGTGGTTGTATTCCACATCATTCCCTGCCGTGAAAAATCATAATACGCAGGAAGTAAAAAGTTAGCATAGTAGAAGGAGCACTTTGCAGCTGAAAACAGGGAGACAACTGACTCTATCTGCTCCGCTGTAAGGATGTTTACAAGAAAGACTTATAAAATCGGTGAGACACACCATTTATAAGTCACTCAGAACAGCAATGTTTTCAATGGAGCATTTGTCGATAGTAATAGGCTGAAATCAAGTTGCTCCTAAATACAAGACGATTCCCAAACTGGAATCGGTCTCACCACTGGAACAGGTACTCAACCCTATTAGATGCCATCAAAATGTTTTAACTTCCTTATCAGCAGGACTGGATCGGTGGAAAAATAATTGACCCCTCTCACTTTCTAATAGACCCACGAATTCTTCCAAGAACAAATCAGCAGGTTGTAACATCCTTCAAATCGTCCACTGAGCACACAGCAAAATTTCTGCAGATTGGATACCTCACTATATATCGTTGCTATGCGAAAAGTATCAGTACGGACAGAAGAATAAGAGGAGTTTTTAATACATGGCCAAGAAGAGTGACTGCTCAAGAAGAAAACTCACTTATTGGTCTACCAGTCTGTGATTTTTTTATTGCATATAGACAGGAACTGCTTGGAGGTCAGCTTGGCTTTGCTTCCTGGTTGAATAACTATTGCTTGGGAGTAAATGTTTGTTTTCGAAGTGCTCAAGTTGTGTTAGTTAATTCGCTCAGATACTGTTCGTACCACTCCCATCTTTGCTTTCTTTATATCACGAAATAGACTTCAATTGTTCCGCTTTCTATTCACCGAGTCCTCATTTACAGAAATCTCTACGATATTGTTAGTTCAATTTCTTGCCTATGCTGTATTTATTCTTCTTATTTATTTTAGCTTATTGAACATGTTACTGCTTCTCGTTTGTTGATTCCCTTTGTCACTTGTCATTGACCTGCATTTGTTGATTTCCTTGGTTCTGGACTAAAATTGTTACTTATAAAGCCTCAAATACCAAATTCTGAGCTCTGGGATCGTTACGTGTGAGCACATGACTTCCGTGTGGCAATGGTCAACAATGTCAATCATCGCTTTAATTCAACATAACCGAGAACGATTTATCCACTCAGCTCTAACACTTGGATGTTAAGTGAGCTGACCCCTCAGCTTTCGTTAGATGACTGTATCGTATGGCATGAATTGATATCCACTCATTTTTTCTCTCTTTTATTTTGTTGCACACTGATTCCGAGTGTTTATCGCATTAGGTCAATAGCCCATCTATTGCAGACCGGTAGGCAGGTTTGAAATCAGAAAAGCTATTCCATATACTTAGTAATATACCAGAAGCGTTTTTTTGCACTAGTTTTTCGGTTACTCTGGTGAGAATGCTGATGATGAGGTACAATGATAGTTAGGGTACCACAGTTAAGGCCTCGGTGGATGGTCGCCTAGTGATGGCGGGAGCGTGCTGCTGAGTGTCGAATATGCCACAAACAAGATATTCTTTACCCTAGAAGGAACTTCCAAGCTGAAGAGTGCGCCTTGTCCATATAGAAGCTAGGCGAAGAGTAAACATTTATCAGGAATTATAGCCGAAATCCTTCCATGAAATCCGTCGTGGATGGCAAATCTAACGAGACAAATCAAATGGAAGATGCTGTGATCCGCACAATATCCATTTTCGGACATGTGAAGGAACCAGGTCTATTTGTTTTATGCCTTCTATTAAACACAAAGGTATGCGATTACATAAAATTTTTATATCGAACCAAAAACAGGAAAAAGTACAATGCAGGGTGCACAAATGGTCCAAGTAATTTCTAAAATATTTCAAAGCAGTAAAAGAATTGAGGTAATTAAACGGAGATCTTTCAGAGAAATACAGTTAAGAAACAGAAGCCAAACAACGAACCGAATCGGTTCGTCGGCACTATACGACCGAACTCTTCGACGAGTGCTGAGGCGTCGTATAGTTCACTTGCGGCTCAGCCGTGCTGAACGTCACCCTGTCGGGACTTCGGCCACCTTTGCGCTCCCGGCGCAGGGAGCTTCGCATTCGGTGAGGAATTCCCGGAATCTCGTCTGGGTACCTGCTATAGTACAATCTGAAAAAGTTCCTGCTTAAAGGTCATAACTTCACTTTTTAAGGTGTCCGGCCAATTTATTGAAGAAACATGGGAAACGCTGGCTACACCATATGAGGTGGACAGTGCGATGTGTAGCCAAAAGCTCACTTAAGCTTCGGAAATACTCAATATGTGTTTTACTGACCGAGTGTTTTTAGTACCGCCTCAAATGCTAAAACAGTTCGGCAGTGAGCTTCTTTCGAAATAGGAAGTTAAATAAAAAGAAGAAAGAAGGCGAGGAAATCCGCGATAACCTGGATATCCTACCGTTCAATGTCTTCGGCAGCTGTATGTGGCCGTGCTTCCTCCCTTCGTTCCTGTTTCAAACTCTCGATTTTCCACGGGAATTGAACGTCATACGGTTCAGGTGCGAAGAAATCGAGGCTGAAATCGAGTAGAACTAACACTTTTTGTGCTACATTCGCAAGGTTAAACACGGGTGTCTCAATGCGTAAGTACCGAAGAAGCAATTAAACTTCTCAGATTTAAACAGGCGTACCTTATCTGATAGTGAATTTCATGAAGTGAAATAAATTCAATTCGGATCTACAGACTTTCGCCAGCAACACACAGGCATTCTTATTTTACAACGATAAAATTCCGAGTTTCTGAAGCCAGCGTGACATATTTATCCCTTCGATGCTAGTATTACAAGAGCGAAGAAACTGAACCAATGGAATTTCGTGAAGCTTGACCAGATGGTGTTCACGAATCCGTCGTTGGTGTAACGGTTGCTGTCCTTCCGTTAATGAGTTATAGGAACAAAATTTTTGAACTTATTTTTAAGTCCTTTGAAAGGTCGACTTTCGAGCAAATTTAGGAGCAGAAATGTTTTAAAAATTAGATATGCCGTTGTAATGACAAAGCAAAGCCGTGTAACTTGTTCGAATTCTGAACACCTATTACCACGTATTCAAGTTGTCAAGAAATCATGGGCAGTTGCCGAAAAATCGCTTTTGGTGAATATGCTGAATCTGTTATGACAGTCGGTTACAGCCCCTATATGAAAATACAATCCTTCAAATCGCAATGTACATTACTATCAGCAGCACCTGCTCTCCCTCCTATTGTGCATCGAGTGATTCGAGCAAGCGCCACTAAAGTCTTAATTTGTCCCTGCGCCGAGAACGAATAGTCCATTAGGTTCTTCTCGGTCTAGGAAACCGCTGAGCATAATGTTTTCTTTCTAGGACCTTATGAAGAAATCTGACTATTTGACATTCTGTGGAATCCAGTAGTCAACGACTACACCAGACCGCTTATCGTTAAAACGCATCATGTGCCGGTCCCCTTGATTCTCGAGATGTTGACTTGCATAAAGTCGTCTCTAATTTTTGGTTGTTGAATGGGTCTTTTATGACAAAAAACGCTGCGTCGTGGGCGTTTTTTGATTTAGAAACCTAAACTGTGAGAACCAGCGTATGACACAGTGACCAATATTCTCCGTGGAAGAGTATTTTAAAGTCTAAAAAGTACGAATTGATAAAACGAAGAGAAGACGAAAAACGTTGACAGGAAAAGGTGGCCAAGAATTTAAAGACCGTTGGATGCTTACCTGCTATTGTCATCTTTGCGGCGAATAGAAGTAATCCTCGGATCGCTGCGACTCCGTCGATCTCTTCGTCGTAGTTTCTTCCGTAGTGGCGGATCAGGCACGGCTGGCCACTGCTCCCTCCAGTCTGGGATATCTCTGGGAGGTCGGTTACAACGAGATGCAGGGCGCTCAATGCGCGTCCTTTGCACCGGAGCGCCGTCGTCGTACTGTGCCGATTGAAACGGTCGCTAGAGGAGAAGAAATTTTAGAAAACAGTATCACTATCTTATTTATCCGGAGTAAAACAAGCGCCTTACATACAGGCATTAGTTTTACATTCCTCTATGAGACAGCAATGACGCAATTGATGTAAAGCAAATCAAACGATAGAACGTCCATCTTCTACACCTTAAACGTGCCTTTATTTTTCTTTTGAAATGTGAGAAGTGATAAAGCTGAAAAGGATCAAGCTCTCAGCGTTGATCAATCCCTAAGGGATGTGCCATGCATTCGACTTCATCAAGCATCGTTTGGAGGTGAATGAATGCATATCTGGCCTTTACAATGACTCGTTGTGGCCAATGCATCGAGCCAGTGCTGCTATCCTTCCAGACAAGTCTGGCAGCAATTTTGTTTTCAATGTTTTCAATAGCGGGATAATTCCGTTTTCAAGTCAAATCTAGAAGGATTGGCTAGATTGGTTACTACAGATGCTGGAATAGTACAACAAAATTACCCACCGAAATGCTGGAGCGACGGCGAGGTTGGGCCGGTTTATCCGATGTGAGCTTTCCTGTCAATCGCCAATAGAAGAAGATCACAGTCACTACGCATACACCCTAAATAAAATCTCCTAATTTAGTTACCCCTTCTTGAGCTTAAGTACTTGTATAATTTAATGATTTTTTCAGTCATAATTACTCGGTCCGGAGAGATTCCTTTATATTAGAGTCTAGGATTAGGAAGCAGTAAATTTAAAGTTCACCGCGAATATTGTAGACCTAAGTGCACCAAAGTTGGATGAATAGCGCATGAACTGGTAATGAACTTTGGTTACACCTAATTTTTCGATGCGCACAAGTGCTCTGGAACGCATATCCAATAGGGATTTTTTGTGGGCTATCAAGCGTAAAGCGTAGCACTACTTACGACCCTGTATCTTCGCCGGCTTGGTAATTAAATGCGAAAAGTATTGCAGACAAACTCTTGGCTCTGAAATAAACAGTTGGAAAGAATATGCTTTTAAGGCAGTACATGCTGTCCATCCTACACTTCTCGGATGCAGTGGTATCAGTGCTTATGGTCATTTATGTGTTAAGCGAACAAAGCTTGAAGCAAAACCTTTTCGGAAAGTAGAGGATACGGAGAAGTATCGCACCGTCTGACTAAAACCCGTTGATCAACTTCTTGGTCTGAATGGTTTCGGACAATGTACTAACTTATTCTTATGTTTCACATTTGCTTTATTTCTTCTTAAAGGCTTGTAATTCTTAGTGTTTATAATGCCGATCAGTAGAAAACTCACATTAACAGCAAGTGACATCACGAATTCGGTAACAGACATCGTCAGCTGCTCGTTGAAGACATCCTATCATGAAATACATGGATAGGATTGGGTACAAATAAGCAACACGTCTCCATATTAATACCAAACCCCAAATTTTCTCTCAGAAAAGCCACTCAATAAATATGAAATTCTAAACGCACTCCACTCCACCACAGTACCGCATAAGCTGTAGACATGATTATGATCGGTCCTGCGGAAAAAATCCATGGCCAGATGAAATTCTTGTTGTACTGGAAACATAAAAATAACTTACTCAGACAGCCTTCTATGCCTCAATTTTAAGCAAAACACCAAGACTAACTAAGACATTAAGAAGTTAGCAGAACAAGCAGGCGGTTTGAAAACTAAGGAGGAAAGTGGCGAAGGTGCAGATAAAGCAACATTCTGACATCCATAGAATCAGAAATACTAACGTAATTTCAAAGAATATTCCTCTAAAGCTATTCTCCTATGTTTTTAGTCGTTTTGTTCAGAAATCTTCCCAACAGTTGACCGTCTCATAGTGACTGGATGTTCCTGGGTGTGGTACTACGATGTACAGCGGACTGATTCATTTTCCTGACAGAGTCTCCCAAGCTGAGGAGTACGGCGTTTCCAACAGGAAGCCTGGCTAAGAGTAAACCAATACCAGGATCCACAATGGTTCTGGTGTCAAATTAGTCCCCCAGTAACAAATCTTCCTCTGATCGACAAAAGGCTGCGACTGCCTGTGGTGGTGACGACCTGGGGCAGACTATGGCCAAGCTGACCTCGGGACTACAGGAAACTACAATGGCTAAAGCCAGCAAATCTCCTGAAAAATGGACATTATACTGGAGCCTGAACAATCAGTGAAGACGTGCCATCCAAGTATCCAAGTAAGTTTTGTCCAAAAGTAAATTTATTGATTGTGTTGGTCTAAGCTTTTTGGATAAAGAATGAGGAAAAATGATGTTTTACCGATTTATCTTCTTCAATCATTGCGCGATAGATTTTTCAAAACAATTAAGCGCATTTGCTTTGCAGGAGTACTTTAGTCTCAACCTTTCTCCAGCCCTTCGTGGAAGCAGAATTTTCAAGATAACTAATATCATAACTAGAGTAACTCCCACTTCCGACTTTCTATTAACCTTGGCAATGATTGAATAATTCTTTATACTTCTGTTCAGTAAGCACGAAGTGTTGTTTTATTTTATTTCTTTATTTACGTACAAGCTAACGTTTCGGTGGATTTCGCCTTCCTCAGAGCCTGGAAAGGTCAAGTTGACTACAATCTGCATTGCCAAACACCTCCATAACCAAACAGAGAAAATGCTGAACCGAAATTTCAATCACATTGAACACAGCTTTGCACACTCACCGCTTTCTATGAGGTTTCCACTAAGTATGTCACGTAGAGACCAACAGCACAAAAATCACATGGAAGCATAATGTGGCCCTCCCATCAGAATAACAGTCTTATATACTGCCCTATATCAGGCGTGATAATGAGGCATTCTTCCCTGCGGTTCGTTTTTGGATTTCTGGAATTAATCCAGAATGCCTCGAGAGTTTTTCGCGCCTGTGTTCTTGATCTGCGTGCTAGGATCGTGACACATACTTCAAAGTCCTCCCCGTTATGTCTCTGGGTCTTATGCGTGCCTAGCGGGGTATTTGGTCTATTTTTGCCGGCTAGGTGTTCTTTATATGCGGGCGCATAGGGGTCTGCCCGTTTCGTCAATGTATTCGTCTCCGCACGTTTTACAGGAGATCAGATAAACTATACCCGAGCTCATGCAATCACCGTCTCTCCCATTGGGGCAAATTATGCAATTTGGCGTTACACATAGACGGTCATATAGGCGGTTACGAACTAGCTGGCGTCTTAGATTACTCGGTGGTATTTCAATTATCGCTACCGAATTCTATAGGCTGGCCCTTCTTAAACAGCGTTTCATAGCTGTGCTTACTTCATTTGAAATGCAGGGCAGTATAAACGGGACCTTATTGTATCTAGAGTTATCGTTGGAGTACCTGTGGTTTCCTTTACACCTATCTCGAGCTACAGTTTCGTAGCCATTAAAAATGGATATTTGCCGCGCCAAGTTCCGGGACTCCTCTCTCTGTTGTCTTCCTGTGTACACGCTGGTAGCTGTTCGAAACATGTTTTTCACAAGCGCCCTTTACGTGTGAGAGGGGTGAGAGGAGAGGTGATGAACTAGGATGTTTTTACTACTTGGTTTTCGATACCACTTCGTAATGTAGCCGTTTTCTGACAGGTTAGCTGTGTCATAACTAGAGTGTTTGACATCTAGAAATTGGAGACATGTAGAAGAGAGTTGCTCCCACCCAATGCACTAAAGAATACGTATATATGTATATATAAGTGCCTGCATAGAGCTCTAAAAGGATAAACTCTCGGTTTTGATCAATCCCTGAGGGATGCGCCATATAGTCAACTTCATTAAATGTCGTTGGAGGTGATTGAATGCATATCTGACCTTCACAATTTCTCGCGGTGACCTATCGATGCATCAAGTCAGTGTTGCTCAGACAAGTGTGGTAGCAATTTGCCGACCTCAGAGGGATGGAAGGCTTGCTGAGCCATGGGCAGCATCAATTCCACGTATGTGTTGCACACTGGGACCGCTGCGCCACAAGCGCCCCTGAGTGCGTGCATATATATATATATATATATATATATATGTATATATATAGTTGAACAAAGTTAGCTGTTAGAAAGGTTAGCTCCAAATAAGTTTACTAAAATAGCTATAGTTTGTGTTTGCTTCCACGGATCTCCCTCATGAGGGATCTCGAACCGGTTAGTCGCGAGGCTACGTAGCGCGTCCCCAGGTGGCGGATAGGGATTTAATCGCGGACTAAAAGCGAGCTTTGCTTCCCTGAGACGCAGGTGGATCCAGTATGGACTCCCTGTTTCTGTTGAGCTGATTTGGCACATACTTTCTGCATTTGCTAGGCGTATTCATGCATGCGTGTGTGGGTGCATTCTTGCTTATGCGGATTGTATCCTACGAGTTAATTCAGCCAAAAGCCTGCAATCAAGTGACAGGGAAGTGTATGGGAGGCGGTTAGGAGTCGCCTCCGACAAATAAGCTGCATGTCCACTCTGGGAGAGCCTGGCAAGCTACCCGTGAGTGTACCCAGCCCCCACGTTCAGAGCCCAGCAAGCTATACGTGGGTATCAAAATGCTAAACACAGTAAATAAAAACAGGCCTTATTCCTCTGACCGTGAAAGAGCCCCAATTTCGCAGCGTTGGGTAGGACGAGTACGGAGAGGCTGCTAAAATCCTAGGGCCAATGGAAGCTGCCTGGATCACGAAGAACTATGGTGACGATCTGTACCTACAATGCACGTACACTTGCATCCAAGTCCTCGATAGAAGACTTGTTCATGCAAGCAAGAAGGATAAAGTACGACGTCATCGGCTTGGCCGAGACGTGAACACGCCTGCCTTTCAACGCCGTCTATGATACCGGAGAAGAACTGTGGAAATGTGAGACATTATAGGAATCGGAGGCGTCGGCGTTCTCGTCAACACGAGTTTGTCCTTGAACATTCATTCATTCGAATAACTAATAACCCGAATCAGACATTTACGATTAAAAAGATGTGGATCAATACCGGCTTTGACAATCTTCGCCGTTAACGCGTTGACATCAAACTATGACGAAGAAGCCGAAGCGTTCTACATGGACTTGGAGAAGTTCTACAGAGACCATACATTTTTCAAGGTCATCATTGGAGATTTCAGCGCCAACACTGGACCAAGAAAAACGTCTGAAAAACGTTACATTGGGACCAATGGATTGGAATGGAACGAACAGGGTGAGCGGTTCTCTGAGTTTATCATGGCGACCAAGACAATCCATGGTTACTCGCAGTTCCAGAAGCGTCACCCTTAGCGCTGGACGCGGGAGTCTCCCAATGGAGAGTACCATAATGAAATAGACCACATCATAGTAAATGGAAGGTTTTGCCTAACCGATGTCGCTGTTGTCCGAAAATTCTACACGAGATCAGGCCATCTTCTCTTCATGCGATTCTATTTCTCGCGCAAAGGAGAAAAAGCCACTAAATTCCAAAACCGAAGTCCCAGAACCACCGCAAGCTGGGACTTATTCAATTCATTAGTCGGCTGTTGGGAAGTTGCCGTTGTCGATAACATCGACGAAGAATGCGATCGACTCATTCAACATATTCACGATAGCGCTATGAAAGCTCAGAGTTCGAAGGTCACCAAGCGACGTTTCTCTCCAAAAACACCCGTCAGCGTCGAATCGCACGAGCTGCAGGCAACCGCGAACTAACGTCCTAACTTGCAAAACAATGCAGGCAGACGATAAAAGAAGATATTAAAGAAAGAAGAGCAGGAGTAATGGTCGAAGCTGCAGAGGCTGGGAAACGCATTGGCAAAGCCCACCGAAGCTTCGCCAATTGCAGGACCATGATGATTGCACTACGCCCAGAGGGAACAGTTAAAGCGTCCGGAAAGGCAATGGTGAAAACCACTCACACCTACCACTCTGATTTCTTCAGTAGTGACATCTTCCTGCCCGCATTGAAATAAAGGAGGATGGATATGTTGTACCACAGGTTCTCCCTTCCGAAATTCGACATGCCATTTCGTCGGTGAAAAATCTAACAGCACCAGCTCCGGATAGGATAAGACCAGAACACCTGAAGAACCTTCCGCCAGTCCTCGTAAACACACTGGTTCTACTCTTCATATGTTACCTGTCTTAATTCAAGGTCCTACTCAGTGGAAACCAGCAAGACCGTGCTATTGTTCAAGAAAGGTGACCTGTATAATATCGGCAACTGTCGCCCAATCTGCTTCCTGTCTGTCGTCTACAAACTTTTCACTCGAGCCATCCTAAACAGGATTGACAGAACACTAGACGAAGGACAACCATGTGAGCAAGTAGGGTTTCGAAAAGGATTTAGTACGATGGACCACATCCACACGGTAACACGGCTCACTGAAGTATCGCCAGAGTACAAAAAACCTTTCTGTCTCACTTTCATCGATTTACAGAAGGCCTTTGATTCAGTTGAGATAGAAGCAGTCTGGGAAGCCTTTGATAGTCAAGGAGTCCCTACTTAGTACATAAAGATTCTTCGTGAGCTGTAAAAAAATTCCACAACCAAGGCATCACCATTTTACAACGATATTAACATTGACGTCAAAAGAGAAGTTAAACAAGGCGATACCATCTCGCCAAAATTATTTACCGCCACACTCTAGAACGTCATGCGAACATTGGAATGGGATAATATGGGAGTGAAAATCGATGGTCGGCAGTTAGATCGTCCCTGTAACACCAAACATTAGCCAAGTGGAACGTATGCTTGCTGACTTTGATAAAGCCTGTGGAAAGATTGGTCTTCGACTAAATCTTACGAAAACGATGTTTATGAAGAACGGATTGGTTTCGCATGCCCCAACCTGAGCAGAAGAAAACGAGCGGCTTGGAAAGCATTCAAGAGCATCGATGATGTAGTGAAGAGAACAAAGAAAACTCCACTCGGTGCCCACCTTTTCGACTCAACGGTACTTGCTTCCCTAACGTATGAGTCAGAAACCTGGTCGCTGCGTAAGCAGGATGAAAGGTCACTCGGCATTATCGAACGTGTAGTCGAAAGAACGGTGCTAGGAGTATCTCGTTCCACACTAGTAAGGGATGAGATTCGAATCTCTGACCTGCGTCAACGATCAAAAATTAAAGATGCCGTTCCGTACGCCAAACAGTCGAAGGTAAGGTGGGCAGGACACGTAATGCGTTTGAATGACAACCGATGGACAGGAGCCGTGACTGGATTCCTCGGCTTGTCAAACGCACTGCAGGAAGACCACCGACCCGATGGTCAGAGTTCTTCACGAAGAGTCTAGAAGAAAGATATGATGCTCGACGAGTCCCTAGAAAGAGCAGGGCTCACTGGGCTACTCTTGCTTGCGACAGGGAAAAATGAAGATTTACTGGCACCGCTCGAGTCACTCGACGATGAACGGGACTACGGGTCATACAGGTGATGTGTTTGCTTAACTTTTTAAGAAGCTGGAAGATTATGTGGAAACGAAGTTAAAGTAAAAGTAATTTTCGATAGCTAAAAGGACAAAATAGTATATATTTTCATATATAAAAAGTTTTGAGCTGAAATAAAGAACACCTTAATGGCTCCGTAGAGTAGAGAAAACGACATGAAGAAGTGAACGAACGCCAGGAAGAGGGTCACCAGCACAATGACGAACATTGCTGTAAAAGAGAGCTCTTCGAAGCTGTTCGTTGACAGTTTCAAACACACAAATGTTGTACCGTTGATTCTTCGCCGTTCCGGAGTTTCCGTGTAGATGGCATAAAGACCGGGGAAACGTGCTTGAAAAGCATCAATCCTAAAGCAATTCAGTACCGTTCGAGATCACGCATGTAATAAAGCACCATCTTACAGCACTTGAAAGTAGCAAGTCACAAGTGATATGAATACCACCTTCTTCGTCCTGGAACTACCTACTTTAGCATCCTCCTAATGCAAAAACTAAACCCAATTCACGTGTAAATTGAAAGACTAAAAGAATAATTATGCGGACTTCACTGGTTCAATCGAGATCACTTGGTCAGAAAAGTAAAGGTGGATTTCACTCCACATAAAAACCATGTTGATCGGCTGATTGAGAATTTCCTTTATGAGGAATGACTCCATGTATGGTATAGATCCCAGTGCTATTGTTATTCAGGTAATTTTCTTGAATCCATCACTCACGAATATTTTCGGGTTTACATCTGTTTTCGGGTGCCGCTTAAGGGTTTTAGCTGTCCCATGAACACCAGTGAGTGCTGGTTAAATTAGATTCTAGAATAGCACTATTAGAGCGTTCCCAGGTCGTCAAAACAAGCAATGACCAGCATCGCTATTAGAAAGAACTATTCTAGAAAAGTCTGAAATAATTCGCCAACTCCGCAGAGAGGAGAACGTTGGTTGGTTCAGTGCATAGTAGAGCAAGCGACTATGCTTGTATTACACTGCTTTTTTTCCGCTGCACTGTCCACATCTCTCTAGTCCATCTCTTATACAATAAATTTATCAACGAGATGAATGTGAATTTAGCTCTACATCGCAACCATATTGATCGGGTCTTTGAAAAATCTAAATAGAATGCTCACGCTCCAGTAGCCGGCAGTTCTCGACCCTCGTATTCCCACTGTCGATCTCTTACTTCCTTCGTCTGCCAACCCATCACACCCATTTGAATCACAGAGTAAACCTGAACTCATACTAGTTTAACAACAAATTTACAACTATTATACTCCCTTATATGTAAGGGTCATGCGGAAAAAGGAATGCATAATAATCAAGAATGATTTGAGCGCACATAAGGAAAATTAAGGCTACAAAAATAATGTGACGTAAAGGAAAAATGCAGAGCAAAATTAGTTTTAACGCTAGTGCTGATAGTACTGACACTTACTCTACTGTCGATACATAAACTACTGCCTCATCGTCTTTTCTACACAAGAACGGATGGATCAGTGCCTTGAATTGTTAATTACAGAGTCAGGCCACATAAAATTCACGCGAGAAAAACCAGCCGAGAAATGGCTTCCATTCTTAAACGTTCCAGTAAAGCTTTCAGAAAGTGGCTAAATAACAGAGCGGCATGGAAAACCAAATAGTGAAATACACTGGCACACTACTTCTCCCCTCATCACTCACACGTGAAAAAACCACATCAAAAACATGTACCGGACGGTAAAAATGTGTGCACAGGAGAAGAGGTGGGGAAGAAATCACTAAACATGGCACGAAAAATAGCCATTTTCAATGGCTACGAAACAAAAGCCACGCGGGTCACGTCAAAGGGTAGGGTCATTCCCCGAAATAATTCCTCGAACGTAGGCAAGATTCTTTTCAGGTTACCCATCACATCGAACAAAATAGGTTACGCCATTAAGAAATGCCTAAGGACAAGTGGTTTTAGGAATTATGTGGCGGTTATTTACCTCCCACCCAATACCCTACGCCGACAGCTAGTTCGCAATCGCCTTTGTGATCGTTTGTGCAGCTCAGAAAACTGTACGATCTGTTCTAACGGGAGAGACGGTGATTTCATGAGCTCAGGTAGAGTATACTTGATCTCATGTAAGCCACCACGCGGTGACGAACACATAGGGAAAACGCATAGACAACTTTATGTCCGCATAAAAGAATACCTATATGGAAAAGTTAAAATTCGTCAAAGAGGTACTCATAGGGCACAAAAGCACAGTGGTGATGATTTTGAATTGAATTTCCGGATCCCAGCGTAAGAATCAAAAACATCAACGCGCAAGACTCTTGAGACGTTTTGGATCAATTTTAAAAATCCAAAGATGAACCGGAAAGACGAATGGCTCACTATCACATGTTATCTGGCACCTTGTTTCAAATTGATTTTTTGCTTTAGGTAGGTCTCGCTCGTCATCTCACTTGAACAACACGGGTGGTTCCACTCGAACATTACGGTAAGCATTTTTTGATTAATATCACGTTCATTTATATGTTAGGTCTTTACTAATGCTACAGATTTTTCACCAAAATCTAAGACTATTGTTACATTAAATAAGTGCAGTTTCTGAGGAGGGCGGGATAGCCGAAACGTTACAGATCAAACAGGAACAGCAACGACAACAACAACTTATACAAATCTAGCCTCAGCTCAACAAGGGCAGTTCCTGACAACACATAAGTAGAGGATTATGTTTTATTCAGAACATTTCTTTAACGAAGGATGACCTTGTCAGAGCATTTTTGCACTCTTCAGAGCAATGAACGATTAAAACGGCAGGATAAGATTGCGGCGAAGTAAAGCTTGATTTTTAATTACTGAAAAATGTACGTCGGGATGAAAAAAAATTAATGGATGAAACTGAAAAATGAAAAATGAAAAATATTTCCTTGGACTGTTCAGCTTACGCGGAGTAAGTCGAAAAATAAATGAATGTTTGAAAAATCCACAATATCACTCACAATGTTCCATATGGCGATGGCGATAGTGCTGTTGCGAAGGCAGAGTAACGGGTCAGCCATATTGCCCTCATCGGTCACATCGTCGCCACCAGTTCCGACGACTGCATAGGTTCCTCAAAATTCTCACAGCCTTTATTATCCAGGGAATTCTACTCCAAATTCACATCCAGAAAGTTTTATACTTCAAAAACAACTCAAAACAACTGAAAATGATCGTTAAGCGAGATTTACAGCTGTAGAAAAAACTTATAACCGTAATTCCTTCACCAAAATTCATATAAATAATATTCGCTTAGGCGGACTCTGTCGAACACGGAGTCAGGTGCCCATCTCCCTCGTGATAGTTGTTTTTATCCAAAAAAGAGTTGGAAAGACAGCTGGAAAGAAAACATGTTACACACGAAGATTACATCACAGGACACTTAAATGACAGCGATTCTTCAAATTCAGTAGATCGGTGTGAATCAAATGGAGTAACATATAGAACAGCGGCATCAACAGCCGTGCAGAAAAGCCGGCACATCGTAGGAGATTTGTCAATGACACATATCACTAAGAGCGAATTGATGTCGCTGTTGCTTCCGTAGAAGCATGTCTATTCGTAGAGTTCCTCGGGATAAGTTTCCGAATTGCCGTGAATGGACTCTTAATATAATCAAATCCAGTTTCCTAGACTGTTCGACTTTAATCTCTGTGATTCCACACGTTCCAATAGCGGTGTTTGACAACTTCAATGTTTGAGACAAACTGTGTTACTTGGCATTTTCTTTTGAAAGTATGGAAAATGTAGGAGTTTCAACCCGACAAATGGATCATCAAAAGATTTCGAGTAGTCCCGTATAGACCAAATATGGCGAATATTATGTAATCAGTGCTTAAATACAATGTGAAAGAGTTGAAAAGCTAGTGAAAAAACGACCAATCGCTACTATCACCAGCACTGCTATGCGCTTCTGTCGCGCAAATTCCTTCACTGATGATTCAGAAAACGCCTTATCTGCATTCGATCGATAGCTTACAAAAGGAACTAAGTGATCGGCCTCAATAACATGGAGTTCATAAAGAGTAAAACAAGCCCACTGTCCTCGGTAATTCCTCACATTGTAGTGAGAGAGTTTCGAACTGCGACATAGAACAAAGGCTCACGTTTTGGGAACTCCACTCATCCTTCGTGAAGTGGAGGGCTTAATTATGTGGAAAGCGCCGTTATCGGAATTTTTTGGAATCAGGCTGACAAGAGCCCTAAATATGTTATGGAAACAAACATGGCAAAGGCATGCTCGCGATATAGAGGTGCCGTGTTCCATAGCGGTGATTGTCCAATCTAAGCAATCCAGAATGTCTAGAAGGAATTGTAGCAAACACGAAATGAACACCAGCAATTGTAAAGGAAATCTGCCAATGCAGAAAATTAGCGGCGAGGCGGAAAACCTTTTAATTGCAAAGTTCCTTTCATGGAATTTTGAGGTGTTCAACAAGGCGTTTTTGTATTTTGTAGTGGGAGAAACTTTTCAAATGAGAGAAATGCTCAAATGGAAACCAAAATGAAGCACGCACGACTCGTAGTGATAAACTGAGGCTCTCATCCAGTGTCAACTGTGGAAAACCACCACGCTCGTTTATCAATTTCTTACAGCACTTTTGAATATTTCAGCGTTCTTATTCAACGTTGCTATCAAAGACTACATACCAAAGCATGTTACTGATAAGTAATTGTAGAGTCCAGAAGCTTACGGATCTTCTCAAGCTGCTCTAAAACCAAAAAAAAAACCCTCAAATGTTAATTTGAACAAACATTTTTGTAAAAAACGAAGGATTCCGTCGATCGAATGGGAATGGCCAAAGAGGTTTGTTGAGAAGATGGAATGCTTCATAAGTCATTTACATGTCATTCATTTTTTAAATAAATCGCAATTTATAAACCTAACAGAACAGAGCCACAGTAGTAGATGTGCTGTGGAATTAGTTAGTGGATGGGGGTGGTGACATAGTGGTAGCAGCAATCTCTTATATCGAAGTGCTTCCAAGGGAACAGAAAAGCTTTTGGAAAAAACGGGCTTTTCTTCCGTGCTTTTTCGGGGTATCTTCATGCAAATTGTAAACGATTCAGCAAGGTAGCTGAGGGATGCAAGCCATAAGGTGTACTATGGTGGTGCTCCAGCGCATGCTATTGACATATGCCAAGGTAAACAAACGCTGGCGTAACTGGCTTGGTTTCATTTGAAGACAGAAGAAGTGCTTTTGCTAGGCGTTCACTGGATTCTTCGTCTTTTAATGAATGACTTTTTGTTATCTGGATGATTGAGGATTAAGATGAGCTCATAAAAAAGAGCCAGAATGTCGAGCTAACGAAAGGTGTAGAGAAAAGCTGTGATGCCTGGACTATATGCATGACGTAATAGTTTTTCATGTATGGAAGTATTTTTAAAGCTTTTTGGTAAAGGAGGTCTTGAAATTGATAGCAAGAAAGCAAGCAGTGCCTTATTTGACCGGATAGATGACCTGTTTATGGAATATGCAGTGGTAGTATCCGGTACTCATAGCAACCGGGACGGCGCTTGTGCTACCATCTCACCTGCGCTGTCAGTAATCCGATTGTCATCGGTATGATTGCGACTGTAGATGCGAAAGTAATAGATGAATTGAAATCATTGGGGAGGTATGTTATCGAGTGTCGACGATGGAACCCTGTGAAATTTCTTGAATAGCGGACGCTGGCGATTTATTTCCAATATTTCCAAGTTTCTACGCTTCTATAAGTTCCTAATGAGATTATTAATGATAATAAAAAAATGAAAAAGTAAGAACATGATAGGATTTAAGATAAGTTTCTAGTAACGTAGTCATCATATAGTGATATTAAGCTCAGCAGAACCTCTGTGTTGCAGATGATTTTTGCTGAGGTGTCTCCAGCTCCAAGAAGATATTTTTGCACTTTTATTCTTTCATTTTGAAAAGTCATGTCTATACACTGAACCTTATGAGAGGCAAAAAAATTCCTATATACAGACTTGGACTGGGGAGATGTATGCGTGACATTCTCAGTTCGGCGAGCGTAAGCAGAATACAGAAGAAAGAGCGCTTGAAAAGGTCTTAGAAACAGAAAGGAAACAATGTTATTTAAAAAGCAAAGGCTTGGCTAGTTCGCGAGATATTACACTCATTACTGGCATGAATGTCTTGAAATTGTTGAGCTTACAAAGTCTGGTAATAGGGTTTATTCGGCTAACGATTCGACACCTCCGTCTTCATCAGAGCCCATGATCGAAGTCCCAGTTGACTTGAGTGTTTCCATATGATTTTTTGCAAACATCCTTGTTTATCATTACTAGTGTCTTTCTAACGCGACTAGAGGATGACAGCGAACGGTTGAATGTAGACCTAGGTCGGCGAAGGAATCCGCCAATGAGGACAGCCGAGTTGGAAGCGACCAAACAAGGTTCCTTGGCGGATGACCGACCAGTTTCATCGTCGAAGCAATGCCAACATCAACACAGCTGTGCACAACAAAACTGAGTCATTCATCCGATTTCCTAAAACCTGGAAAAATATTGTTCGGAAACACCACAGGCCTTTTTTCCCTTACAATTAGCTTTTTTCTGGTCTAGAGTCAAAGTTTTGCAAATATTTCAGCATTCCAGGACCATGTACTGTTTTCCTTCCATGAGCAAACACGAGGTTGGTATTATGGTATTTATTAGCACGCAATAACAGACGTTTCGGCGCTTTCGCTTTCTTCAGAGCCTGAAAACCTCAAACTGACAAGCGGTTTACTCAGCCAAACACTTTCATAACAACAGTAGACAAACTTGGAGCATAAATTTGCATCCGCATAATAAACAGCTTCTTTTAAACACCCACCGTTTTATTCGTTGTAAGCCTTTCAGTTAATCGCTGGATAGCAGGCGCAAATACTCCTATATAGGCGAAGAATGTGCCTAGGTCAGGTCAAAGAATCATCCTAAGGTATAGCACGAGCTTACGTGTGATCACAAGACATTCCTTCTTACGGTTCACTTTTGGATTATTGGAATTAATAAAAAATGGATAACGAAATAACGGAAACTAAATAATTGCGGTAATCCGAAAATGAATCGTGAGGGAGAGTGTCTTGTTATCACGCGTGACCTCGCGCCATACCTCAGCCTGATTCTATGTCCTGATCCAGACACATTCTTAGCCCATGTTAAACTCTCTGCGGCTGCGCTCCACCAAATAGCTGGAGGACTTACAACGGATAATACGATGGCTGTATGAAAGAAGCTGTTTATTATGCGAATGAAAATTTATGTGCTAAGTTTTATTTACTGATGTTACGAAAATGTTTGGATGAGTAAATCGCATGTCAATTTGACTCTCCCAGGCTGTGAAGAAGGCGAAACCGCTGAAACGTCGGCTATCGTGTGCTTATAAATGCTATAATACCAATTTCGTGTTTGCTCATTGAAGAAAGAGTGGATTATTTCTGCATCATTTGGTTGTCTTTTACGTAATACTCTGCCACCATGGGAAAGTAATAGGCAGTAAATAAAGTGTTGAACAATTTTCTTCCGTTAGCGCAACGGTCTGGGAGTTGACAAGCCATTTCCTTTACGAACGTCTAAGTTGGTTGTTTTTGTATGAACTTTTTTATTCCATCATTAATCTGTCCAACGAAAACCATTGTCACAGCAAACTTGAATAACACGAATAACAAGCGAAAACAACGAAGACGCTTCACGAATAACAAGCGTGGACCATCGACTGGGAACATCGGCTCTGAGGAAGACGAAGACGTCGAAACATTAGGAAAATCGGTTTCGAAATGATTGTTTTGTTTTCACAGCCTATTTTTCCGGTTTTTCATTTATATTCTCCAACTCCAATCCACCGTTCCAACTAATTTCGTCGCCATTTATGGTTGGGTTTCTTTTAGTAAGTAGTTGATCTTTAACTCCAGAGGCACTTTCCTTTCGATTTTTAGAAGAGTGCATATTCGGGAACTGTTTAGAAACTCAAGATCTGCACGACCAGGCCAGTATGATTTTCTTGGCTGTTTTGTGTTTCGAAGAGTTGTCGGA